ATATATATATAATATATATATATATAATATATATATATACATATATTTATATACAGAATACTCTATGACGAGATGACGAGAAGCTGTGTTAAAATTGCGTACTGATTATTTGCACGACGATAAGTGTCTGACGTGACATAATCTTTCCGGACGTCCGCGGTGCCGTGGTTCATCGCGTTAAGACTGAGCATTCGGATCGAGCTGGTGCAGGCGAATAATCACAAATAGTGAACGTGAATGAATGTAGAAAGAAAGTGTTATCTCTTTGGCGTACTAATTGTAAGACAAAGTTATCCCGAAACTAATTAAGGAAATGTCAGAGACAACGATCAGAGAAATCAGAAAAAAGTCAGGTAATTTTGCAAAATTATCTGGAAAATTAAAATTCTTGGCTTTAAAAAAGTTTAATATTTGTATCATATCTACGCAGTTTTTTGGAATACTGTCAACTTAACAATTAAATGCAAGCAATGTCGATACATTAATAGTAAGTTACATCGTTAAAGTTAAATTAGCTTAATAAAATATTCGACGGTTTGCAAATCAAGAAAGTAAAAAAAAAATCAAAATATTATTAAAAACAACAAGAAAAATCTTGAAATTTTGTCCAGAAGTCAAGAAAAATTTATGGAATTTTAGAGTGAGAATTTGTAGCAACTGCAAGAGATGGGACGTGTTCGTTTCGACACGAATTTAGGCTCGTTCGTGCTCACAGCACGTCGAATTGACTGCGTTCGTTTGCGTTCGTTCGCACTTCTTAGTCCGACTCCGCCTTTTAAGTATCATCGTCTGGTCGTCGCGCTGACGTCATGTGGCGAACGCCGCGGTAACGTCAGGAGTCGTATGCAGGTGAACCATAATCTCGACGTGCACGACGAGATCCGGAGAACGCGAGCGGGAAGGAGGGAAACAGAAGGAGAGAGAGAGAGAGAGAGAGAGAGAGAGGAGAGAGAGAGAGAGAGAGAGAGAGAAAGAGAGGCAGGAGAAGGGACCAATATGGCGAATCGGTTAAAAGCTATGCATCGGCGTTACGTCCACCAGTTCGCGAGTTGGCACGACGGTGGTGCATTCGTCGCTTCGATATCGACACGGTCGATAACGCTCTTATTTTCCTTTCTTTTCTTTCCTTTTTTTTTCCCAATTTCTTTTTTTTTTTATCATTGTCTCCTGAAACCTCGTCGAAAAGGAAATCTAACGCCCGCGCGGAGAAGGCCGAAGTAGCGCAGATCTGCGATTTTTCGCGTAGAATTATCGCCGATCATCACCATCGTGCTGATCCCTTTCGGTAAAACGAAAGTTCAGAGAACGATCAAGAGCGACGATCGATCGAGATAGAAGAGAGAAAGAAAAAAAAAGAAGAAGGGAAGAAGATCACTTTCGCTTTCGTCGGAGTGTCACAATTGTAGTGTGTGTTATTTTTGGACGAACGTCGATTAATTGAGACGCAATCAACGTGCGATAATTAGTAAGTATAGTGAGATTTTTTTCTCGATACTATCGACTAATATTAATCCCTTGATGTTAATCCAATTTCATCAACATCTAATGACAATAATAATAAAATTAATGATTTAAATGGTTTTATGAAAATGATAATATAATTAAGATAGATGTATATAAAATTATTGTAATATGATTTTATATATTATTATATCATTACATTGACGAAGAAGTATTAGTGCTAAACAGTTAATATTAGAGATAAATTATATCATAATAATAATGAAATAATATAACTATTTATAAAACTAATTGTGTTTTTTATATTAAGTCATACCATAGGAAAGAAAAGTGCATAGGCTTTTCTATGAAGACATTATTTTCTTTGTTGATGAAATTGGACATCAAGAGTTAATGCAATATCGGTGTGTTCAATTTTTGATGATATAGATATCGAGAAAATATTATTTGTCTCTAAATCGAGATACGAACCCGTTGCAATTGTATTGATCTATATGTCTTCGTTATTGATATAGTTAATAAAAAAATTCTATAAAATTGGATTTCAATGCTTGCGAGATCGTAAATTGAATGGAAATATCGAAATAGTTTCGAGCAGAGTGGCTGACTAACGCACGACTGAACGTTTCAATTATTTTCTATTGACCATCGATCAATCACTCGGGCATTGTTCAAGAACCATACAAAATATAGTATATCTTCCTTCCTTTTTTCCTTCCTTACTTACTTCCTTCCTTTCTTCTTACCGCACCTCGTCTCTTATGAATCACGAGTGTGCGATTTAAGTTCGATTCACGTTCCACTCGTTCGCGATAGACTCGTGGGAGCATTTAATGAACGTATTTATAATCGTTAAACCATCCTTATGTATTGAAGGAAGCCTTGAATTAATGCTTCTCGATGCGAGCCGCGTCTCTGCATGCGTTCACTTCGCTGTGCGATTAGCAAGATAGATGGATCGCTTGTACACAACAAGTCAACAGTTCGACGCCGCAAATGCGTCAGCGGGGGATTCCGTATGATTATTACGATCACCACCCGGCGATCTATCCGTAATCGGAAAACTGGAAAGTCAATGACTCTCCTTAGCTTTTTTACGCGCTTTAGCGCGAAACAAATATGTTTTTAAACGCTCGTTAAAGTACTCCCTAATTATTCGCATATCTGCTTCTTTATCTCTTTCTTTTACGCCACGATGATAAGTATACCTTTTAATTGTTGATAATTTTAAACGAAAAAGAAAAAACCGTTGCCAAAGTATTTAAATATATAGCTGTATATTATCTAAAAATAATTGTGTTGGACTATCAGAATTAATTATGTATGCAAGATATTCACACTGGATTTACCAGAATATCAAATTCTTTGCATTAATAATGCTTGAATTTCTTACATAACTATATTAGTCCAACAAAATTATTTTCAGATTTGTACATAATACCTAAATTTTTAGATATTTCAGCAAAAGCCATTTTCGAGCAATATAGCCATCGATTTAAGCTACGAAAGTTTGAATTTTTTCCTGCTCTCTTTCTCTGCCTCTTCTTTTTCGTTTCTCTCTTACACTTTTTTACTCTCTTGTTGTAAGAAACGTACATACTACGTATTAATAAAAACGTGATTGAATCATATTACCGAGTCCATTGATCAGATTACGTCTTCTTTGTTTTCGGCTTTAAATGATACTATTCCGAAATAAGGTAAATACAGCTTTCACAACAAAACCCCGTCACCGCTGTATGTACATCGCGCGCAATTTATATTATATAACATGACGCAACGTACAATAGTGTGGTAAGATTAATTATCGCACGATAAGTGACACGTAACACGCTATGTCTCGAATAGGATGCCATCCATGATCGAAATTCCAGCATTATTCCTCATGACGCACTGTGTTCGCACTAAAAAAAGGAAATTTTTTCCTGCGCTCCTCCCTTTTTGACAAGAATTATGAGATTCGTTCATTTCTCAGCGAGTTGAATTTTTTTTATTATTTAATTTATCATTATCTAAATATTATCGCTTATATGTAACTGAAGAAATTAACACGATTCAGAAAACATTAATTTACTGCTGTAAGTGGCTCGTTCAATGATGAAATAGATTGTCTAGGATAACATTATGAATACAATGTTGTTTTACCTTGTTCTAATTTTTTCACTGTACAGATGTCATTAAATCTATGAAAAAAATATGAAATCGCGTGAAGACTTGTTCGAATAATAATTAATTATACGATATATTATGACATGGTAATTGCGTCTGTACGTATTATTAAATTCTAATGACGCGCCGTTGTCTAATATTACGATTTGTTGTTGTTCGAAACACAATTAATTTCATAGGTTAGCAATTTTCAATCTCAATAACATATATTATTTGCGATAAAAAATGTTCCTATGATGATTTTACGTTTCTTCTTTTCTGGCGAAAATTATGAGATTTAATTTTCAGCGTCGAATTCTTTAATTCCTTCAGATCTGATTTTATTGGAACCATGTTAAAAAAGAATTTTTTAATTCAATTCAAGGGCACTTTAATAATTTACACTAAACAATTAATTTTTTCAAAATTTTGACTATTTTTCAACATACATTATTTTCAATATACATTACAATGTACATTTAATCTCAGATGACATCAATAAGATTAAATAATTTCAATATAATGTTTTCAAATTTGGTGTACATTAATGTGTATACAGGGTCTGAAGAAGTTGAGAGTAAAGGGAAAAAAAGATTTATGATTATTTATTTTTAGCATATTTTGTTTAATTTATGCGTGCTACGAGGAATAAAACATCATCATCGCGAAATATTTTGCAGACACAAAAAACACATAAATAAGGCATAGTCAGCGAGAAAACCTTGTTCAATGGAATGTACATATCGGTAGGTATTTGCCTTACAGTGGAGAACGATGTGTAATTTTCTTTTAGCTTCCGCGAGCGTGAAATAGTTTTTTCAAGGATTTTATTTATGATTAGCTATATATCGACAATTGTGTAACCTCTACCTAAGTAATTAGTGTTTGTTCTTGTGCTTCAAGAAATTCATTTTATCGACAAATCGTATTACACGATCGATTTCGATATGTCTGTACCTACTTAATTGTGTTATAATATGCATATATTCAATGTATGTATATATTAATTATATTAATATATATATTAATATTATATATTAATTTATTAATTGTTTAAGTATTCAACATAAATATTTTAATTGACTTTTTGTTGGATTTACTTATTTCGATTTTTGTTACATTTTCGCCAAATAACTCGTTCACTTTCATGGGATATCAAATTGGTTGAACTAACTGATGTAATCTATTAAACATAATCAAATATTTCTACATATTTCTTTAATTCTAATTTATACATTATGTTTATGTATTAATACATAATCTAATTTTAATACATTGTTCTAACTTTCAAAATGCGAGGAACTTGGTAAATCGATATCACGTGACACTTTTAATTTATTATTACAAATAATTAATGTTAATTCCAAAGGCAAAAACAAGAGCATAAAAAATTACTTCGTAATTACTGATAATTACCCGTAATTACTGGTAAAACAGAATTGATGTACTATTGATAAATTAGTATCTAATTCTCGGATCTTTAATTTTAATTTTCAATTTACTATTCATCTAATTTCCATCCTAATTATATATATATGTGTGTGTGTGTGTGTGTGTGCGTGTGTGCGTGTGTGCGTGCGTGCGTGCGTGTGTGTGCGTGTGCGCGCGCGCGCGCGCGCGCGCGTGTGTATGTGTGTGTGATGTAAAGTAACTTTATCCAATATGGCCTATTAAGAATTGCGATTTTTACAGCATTGAAAACTGACTCTGATGAGTCAGACTTATAAAACATCTCTGAATATTTATTGAAAATATGAGATATTTAATATCTACATGAATGCAATGAAAATTTAACTATCTATGTAATTTTTTATAAACAGCAAGTAGGTCATATTTGGTGCAGTTACCTTATTATAGGAATTTTAAGGAGCCTGTATGTAGTACACTCTTAGAATTTTTCTGTCGCGCATATAAATTTAAATTTTCACCTACGAAGGAAGTTGACTTTTTTTTTTAATTATACGCTTATTAAATTAATAGAGTATTAGAAAGCTATGCAAGCTGTTTTAGATTAATTGCAGACAACTTTCAGGCAAGATACAAATCGGATCGCGAGTCATACGGTCAATTAACATTATTTTATCGTCGTGGTAATATGCAATATACGTTTCTTATGGAATCGTGCGTAAAGTCTAGTGAGCGAAGTAGCCGACCGGTGTGCCGGTTACTGTATACAGTAACGCAATCAGTAAAAGCTGTTGTATAATCCACGCGCGAGAGATGCAAAAAGAACGCGTGCTACGTACTTTTTATAGAATATGAACAAGCGTGTTGGGCGTCACGGAGAACGCGATCGCGATTGACGCGATCTCTAAGTCGAGGCGGTTCCCGGATCGATCGCTCCACTTTACTGTCGTCGATGATGATCGACAAGTGCAATCTTCGCCGCTCGCGAATCTATTCGCGTCAATGGTGACTGAATCGCCGCGTACACGCGGATCTATTCGGCGCGGCTCGTGGCGGCTGACACGTCAACCTATCTGCCTATTACGTGAAACGTGCCGCGTTGCGACACGGCCCCCCCGACAAATTTTCTGACAGAGATCGAAACGAGTCCTGCTTTCTCCCGAATTTTTGAGCGTGCCTCGCCGCGTGCGATCTCACGCGCGGATGTACCCATATTTTTCCTATTTAGCGGAATCCGCGATCTCATGCCTCGCTGACTCGCTGGATCGTCATTAACGTCGCGTCGGTTTCATTAATAAATGAAAGTCGCGTGGCTTAGCGGTGTATATTATCCACCTGCCAAGGCCGAATTGCCGGAACGTCCGTTCTCTCATGTCGCGCGCGTTCGCGAGTCGACGGCCGTATCAGTTATACTTTACCACGCTCTCATTACGCATGAAGCTACTCGTG